GAGAGAGAGAGAGAGAGAGAGAGAGAGAGAGAGAGAGAGAGAGAGAAGGCGCCGCGCGACACGACCTGGTCTTGTCTGACTGAGTTATCCCCCGGCGGCCGCTGTCTCCGCGCTTGGGTGGACGGACTCTCTCGCTCTCTCCCTCCTGACGTCACAAATACACACCGGGGACTGTTCCCCTCACCCCCTCTCTCTCTCTCTCTCCTCCCTCCCCAGTCGTCCCCCGCCCGACCAAGCCTCGCTTCTTCTGTCAGTCACTCCCCCCCTCCTACTTCTCCTCCCCTAGCAAAGGCGGGGTAACCTGTTGGATTCTTCTATTCTATCTCCTTGTTCCAGTCTTGCGATCATGGATTTTGATCGTGCTGTTTGGGAGTGCTAACTGGTTTTGTAGCTTAGTGCGTGTGTGCGTGTGTGTGTGTATGTGTTTTGAAGATTTTTCGAGGGTGAATTTCGTTTTGCGGATGTTTCCTGATTTGTGTACATTCATTTCCTTTATGAAGTGACTCCAAAAGTCAAAGTGTTCGTGGTGCAATGAGTTTTACAACAAATAGAAATCGAAGATTTTGTCTTTAAAGTCAAAGCTGTCCTATAATTTTTTAAAAAGAATAGCGCCTTGTTACCTTACCTTGTAGGATTGACTGTTCGTGGGAAGTGTTCGATTGGATTATCTCTTTAAATGGATTATCAGAATATTCTCGCTGCGTCTACCTTTGAGATGGAAGGTTAATCTTCGCGGTTGTTCTTCATCAGGATTGTTTCTGAGTTTATGTCTTCCAACGTCATGGCTCAGGAAAAAGAAGGTAAGGACATACAGGCCGAGAGTTCGGTAACTGTTTTAGCTGATATGATACAGTACATGTATAAAGAATCATGAGGATGGTTGTTCGAGCCGCTTTTGAAATGAGAAGATCAATAGGAAATAATTGTGTCTTAGAGTCGGTTGTAGGCTTCCTGCTTTTAGAGGTCTGTTTGGAAGTTTATGTCTTTACTTTAGTGACACACGCGAAACTGGCCCACAGTTGTTTTGTTTACTTTTTTTTCATGTCCTGCCCAAATCTTATACGGGTTTGATCTTTTCTCAATGGACCACACTGAATCGTCGCTCACAGTTACAGTGGGAATTAAAGGTGTGGACAAATGCAATACAAACACACGAACAAAAACAAATAAACATACACACAGTCAACTGGCACTCACCCACATAATTTGACACTCTCTCAGTCTCACAACACACATAATATAACAATACACGAACACACAAAGAACGAAACACACATGCAATCACACCCATATATATATGCCACGTTCGGTCATGGAATTTCGACCTTACCTCCTGCAGAGCCTCACTTCTTGTCGTATTATGACCTCTCTCTGATCTCTTTTTATACATCTCTCTCTTTGTCTCTCTCAGTCTGTGATCTCCCTCCCCCCTTCTCTCTCTCTGTCTGTCTGTCTGTCTGTCTGTCTGTCTGTCTGTCTGTCTGTGTCTCTGTCTCTGTCTCTGTCTCTCTCTCTCTCTCTCTCTCTCTCTCTCTCTCTCTCTCTCTCTCCCCCCCCTCTCTCTTTCTGTTTTTATTTCACACCAATCACAATGTCTGTCAGTCTCTCAGAAACGTATACCCTGACCAAACCTTTGAAATCGCAAGAAAGAAAGATAGAAAGGAAGGAAAGAAAAGGGAAGAAAGAAAGAAAGGAAGGAAGGAAGGAAGAAAGAAAGAAAGAAAGAAGAAGAAGATAACCCAAAACAAATAAGCTTTTACATACTTCAGACTTGAAGATAATATTGATCCGTGTCTCAATAGGCCCCTTTTCTCCCAAGACCCCTTGGCTGGCAACAATATGGCTTCTTCTAGAGCAACAGTCTGTCTTCTCGCAACAGTCTGTCTTCTGACAACAGTTTGCTAATTAAATGTCACACGATCTCTGCCCGGTGTGTGTTCATAAAACCTTTCGATGCAAATCTACGTCTTGATTTACTCTTTCTTGTTTGCGTTCGGCTCCTTTCCAAGGTTCTCTCATTGTCTCGCTCGTGTATGTTTCAAGGACCCAAATAGTTTTTCAGGCCCTATTGACACGAGTCGAAGAGTGGCATACTTGATGAATTTTTCGGGAATATTGGTTAATTCAATGCAGATCTACTGGGTTCTTAGCTCAATGTTGGTGTATTTACCTTTTGGTGTGCCCTGCAGCACATTTATACTGCATTATATATAGATTCAACACTGCTTCATCATTTTAGTTTATTAATGAGGACGTAGGGGCCTTCAGTTTAACGTCCATCTCCGATAGGACTGAACAAAGTGGATTAAGAGCCTTTCAGACTTCCCAAAGAGTCCAGGTTCAATAACAACCATGACAATATCGGGATTCGAGAGAGTGTTGTCTGCACCGTTTGAGCTGAGTTAACGATGATTCCCATCGCTGTACTAAAAGCATCAGTGTTCCTATCACAATGCAGTACGGTATAGATATTTTGAAGAGGGTAATGAATGTTATTTGATATATGGATGCAAACGAAAACGGAGCAGATGAGCGGGACTTTAAGAGAGAGAGAGAGATGGAGAGAGAGAGAGAGAGAGAGAGAGAGA